AACAATATAGTTTAATGAAATTTAACGACAATTGTTAAATTTTGCAGAATTTCTTGAAAATGGAATTTTGTGATGGCAAATTAAATAAATATTTTTTTAAGTAGTAATTTATTTCAACGTGAAAATTTTAGAGGGCCATTAACACATTTGGCCATTTCAAAGTGCTGCAATTCTGACTGTTTAAATTTTTAAAAAAATTAAGGTTAAGTCGTTAACCTATGACTTGGAAGACTTTCGCCGTCTATTTTGGTTCTTTTTGTTTTTCTCGTTGTCTTATAATTAGGGTTGTAAATGAATTAGGTTGCTTGCAATTTGCTCAATAAACAAGTTTGGATCCCCTTTACGAACAAAACTCAGAAGTTTATCACGAACAAAGCTTGTTTAAAACTTAAAATATATATTATTTATATATGATACTTTCCTTACTCTAATTTAGTTATCTTATTTTCCAAATAAAAGTAGTCTAATTTAGTTATCACACCTTATGTTGACATTTAATGTTAGGATTTCAATTTTACTTTTATTTTATAGAAATGTGTTGGGATTTTTTATTTAATTGTTAGGGTAAAAAAAGAAAAATAAATCTTAATTATTTTAATAAATAAATTTATTGTTAAAATGTAAATGGAAAAAGTAGGATAGCTGTGGCTTCTTGTTAGTACTTTTAATAAAAAAATTTTTACACAGCACCTTATCTAAAAAAATATAAATTTATAATTCTTTACTCTCTGTTTCATAATAACTGTTATTTTTTTTTTAATTAAAGACATTATTTACATATTTACCTATATTACCCTTAAAAAAAACTAAAACAACCACTCTACCAAATAATTAAGGTTAAGTCATTAACACAATATAGGATAATTAATTAACTGTTATATTGTGTTACAGTGAAATTTTTTGTAGTAGGATAAGTAATTAAAATAAATAGATAATAATAGAGTTAAAGTAAAGAAAAAATATTTTTTACCTTAAAAAATACTCCATAACAAAACAATAATTAATTTGAGATAAATTTAAAATAAAAAAAATTAATTATTTTATGATAGAAAGAGTATTAATTTTAATTATTTATATATTTTTTTATTAATTTTAATTTATTATTTTATATACTTTTAGATAATAAAAAATTAAAAAACCAATAACTGTAATGCAATATATATAATATTAGCAAACAAATTCTAAATTATAGGGCAGAGAGTCTAATAAACTTTTAATTTGAGGACAGTTGACTTGACTTTACTCATTAACCGAGAGTGCTAAGCTAAACAAATCCAATCACAATTTCGCATTCCTCCAAATGGAACGATGAAGACTAATTCAAAGAGAGATATAATATCAATAGAGCAAACCCTGAAACGTGTAATACACGGTGTTCACATTTTTCATTTGTGTTTTCAGTGGTTTTAGGACAAATTACGCTTATTTGTCGTGGTTTTCCTTTCTTTCTTCATTATTATTAATTAATTATTATGGATAATGATTTGCTGGACGAAAGTGGGGAGCGAAAATGAGAGCCGACAAGTGAAGTTGGTTAAATGGGTAATTTTGTAATTTAACCAACTTCACTTATCTTCACTTGTCGGCTCCCATTTTCGGCCCTCACTTTCGTCCCCGCAAATCATTATCCAATTATTATTACTTTTTATGATTCTACTTTGTAGATTGGGGAGGTTGGCTTTAATTCTCTCTGCAAATAACGCTAGACATGATACTCTCTCTTTTATCGACTCATGTGGTTTATAATTTATTCTTAATAATTGGTGATAATTTTAAATTGAGTTTTTTTAAGGTGTTAGTGATGTATTTATTATATTTTTTTAATATTAATTTATATAAAAATAAAAAAAATTAACATTAATTTTAACATTATTATTTTTTGAATGAATTTTATCAGATTAATTATTAAAATTAATATTGATTTTTAATTTTTTTATGTTAATTATACCAAAAAAAAGTACAATAAATGAGCACAAATTAAAAAACCATTTTAAATTTTAAATATGGTAATTTGAACTCCCATTCCCAATAACAGAGAAAATGCTTAAGAAAATAAAATTTAAAAGAATGCGTTGTTATTACTTGACGTACGTTTACATTAATAAAAGTAAAGAAAGTACTAAATTTGAGTTAATATAAGTGAAGTATGTTATAGGATGAAAAGATTATTTTTTATCATACAATATAAAAAAACAATTTTAATAGTAATCATATATTTTAAAGATGCATTATAGAAAAGAAAAAAAAAATTCATGGCCACCAAACAGCCGCTTGGTGTTGCAGGTACAATTATATAAAGTTTAAGGACGCTCAAATAGGGTAACTCTCTCTTTAGCCTTTCAATAACCCTATTACACCTCCTAATGTAGGAAGTTTTCAATACTTAATTGACTCATTCAAATAAGGAACATCTCTATATATCAGTGTTATAGGTATTTGCTTTCTAACCTATAAGGCACTTGTTATAGATAAGGTTGATGTACTTTCTTTAGATTCCATTTGGTGTTGTAATCTGGCAGTGTTTTTTCGCACAATACTTGATTAAGAGTATTAATTTATTATTATTAAATTAGTTTTAGTTAATATCTTGCATAATTTAGTAATTATATTCATGTATTACATTATTTTCAATGCAATTATTAAACAATAACAAAATTTTGTGACAGTAGAATAGTTAAAAAAGTTATAGTTATAACACTTTACAATAACTTTAAAAGAAATCTAATTAATTATCAATAAAACCTATGATTTTTATGAAAAAATTTTAATTATATATTTTTAGTGCATCTAAGTATGAACCATATAAGACGAGACAACCCTTTCTTTTTTTTAAATTTTTTTTCACTCAACTCATAATTTAAATATGAAATTTTTAACTTAAAATCTTAAGGTTATAATTAGTTAAACCAATCCCTTACTATGAATGTTATTATATATGTGTAAAAGTTTTTTATTTTATAATTCAAATTATATCAAACTATAAAATAAAGGCCATTAGATAAGAAGAAAGCCCACACTATCAAAAGATTCAACCCATTCGATGATCAATTATACAATTCAATACAATCTGAATCATATAATACTTTTTTCTTTATATAAAATAATTTTTTTTTCAAAATAAATATTAAACATTAACATAGTTTTTCAATAAAACAATTCAATAAAAAACGGCATCACCACACTACTCAACAATCCAGTACATAATTTATTTTAGAAACATTATGCATATAAAATCATATTTTTAATTAAATCTAAACTCACGTAGATTGTTATTTTTATAGAATAAGAGACAGAATGATAAAATTAAAAAAAAAAAAAATTGTCGTTCATTTTCCGTAAAAATTAACAAGTGTGACCTCACAGACTTTGTTTATGATGATAACCCCAGCCAATTTCAATTGTACTCCTCTTGTTTACTCAACAATCAATGTTAAAGAAAAGCAAAATGGCTCAAGGCCATTTATCTCTCAAAATGATTTAAAAAGCATACGCGGTCAAAAGTTGGAGCAGGTGCCGGCAGTGCCAGCTTCTGCATCACTACTGGCACATGATAATAGTAAGATTATGTAATATTATCTTTAAAATTATTGATTTTGTTTAGTTTAATTATTAAAAATAATTAATAATTAATAAAAGAATCGATATTTATTATTTATTATATTGAAATTAATTATAAATATATATTTTCAGATATTATAACTACTATTTAAAAAATTATAAATTAGTAAAATATCAATCAAACTAAATACAATTTATGTGACCTTAATATTTTCTTGTGTGGCCATAACCACACTTGATACTCCAACACTTCTACAAAGTTTGTTTTTATATTATTTCCTACCATACACTTCCCTTGTGAGATCATTTTCTTACCAGGGTAATGAAAAGAGTTATATTAATTCAAGAATTGAATTCAATAATAAACAAGTATCATCTTATAAGTTAGATTTAAAATTTAAAATTTAAGCCAACATCTAAAAAAATTAATTTTTTTAATCTTACCACTGAACATACATACATGGGGAAGCAAAATCTTGTCAAGCTACGTAGTTAGTAGCTAATGCATTGCATATTTAACAATTTTTAAGAACATTCATTAATTCAACATCTTCTTATTTAAGGCAGAATTAATTTCATTTGATAGAATGGATCAAAGGATAAACATAACTGCTCGACATGGGGATTCCAATTAATGTCCTGTATGCAATTTTGTCAGAGGACACATTGATCAAGTACCATTTATAGACACTCCATTACAAATAGCTGCACTTCCGGGGAAAACCAGGTTTGCTAGCTCTGGAAATTATGAGGTTGAAACCTTCTTTTGCTATAAAAGTCAATCAAGATGGACTTAATCCCTTGCATTTGGCTTTAGAAAAAAGAGCTTTTAAAACAGCTTTTGAACTACTAGCTGTGGTTGAAGAGGTTGTCCATGTAAAGGCTAAAGGTGGTATAACTTAATAACTCCATTGCATTATTACGCAGCTAAGATAGGAATTACTGATGTTTGGCTTAACAACATGCCCCAAAGCAGTTGAAGATCTAACAGTCCACAGAGAACCTGCACTGGCTGTTGCAGTGAAAATGACAATCTGGATTGTCTGAAAAAGCTATACACTTGGCTTCGGATAGTTAATCAGCTAGGGGTCGTAAAATGGACTGACTGTGAAGCAGAAGCATTCTTGACGTTGCAATTAAGATGTACAATTTCAAGGTAATTAAGTATCAAAAAATATTGTCATTTAATTTAATTTCTTTTAAATATATGTACTAGTTTCTAAGCGCCCCTATTTCTTTTGGATTTATTATAGTTTCGTCATTTATGTGGACGGTACTTGTTGTTCGACAGCTTATCTTTAGTTCTTTAATATTCTTTTATAGGTTCGTTATGTTTTTAAATCACTAACTGATATATCCTTTGATTTAAGGGTAATGATATTTGGGTCGAATACGTTGGATTGAACACGAGGTCGAACAACGTGATTTACCATGTTGTTTGCTTACATAGCTTTTCTTGGAAAAAAAAAAATTAGGAAGAATTTAATCAGGTCTAATTCCTTTTAAATTGTTTTTGCCCCTTCCTTCCTGCGTTCCCTAGCAGCCATCATATACCGATTCTTCTCCTTCACTTCATCAACTAGTTCACCGTCATATACCAATTCCTTTCCGTCACTTCCTTCACTTCATTAACTAGTCCACTAGTGAATAGGTAAGTTTTGCTCACTTTTTTTTTTTTTTCTTTTTTGAGCTAGCAGTTCTGATCACTTGAATATATTGATTTTTATAAGTGATTAGAATCTTGTTTGAGATAAATTGAACTTGAATTACTTAGGTTTTAAATCAGTTTTATATTCACTTTCTATGTGCAACTAGATTATGTTGGGTTTAATTTTTATGTGGAATTTGATTTCTATGTAATTTTTGAGAAAAATTACATAGAAATAATAAGGAACTTTGTGGGTCTTGTAATTTTTAAACCCCTTGGTGGGGTTTGTGTTGATTCATGTGTTCTTATTTTCTTGAATCACCATATCTAGACATCTTATACTATAAACTAACCAGCCTTTGTTTTCTCAACTTAGATCCCGTTTGGTATAACAGTTTTAAAATAGCGATTAGTGGTTTTGCCTAAACTATTAAATATAAATGTTTGGTAAATTATATACTTTGAAACCACTACAAACAAATTGTTTGGTAAAAATTTTTATTTAGTGATTTGGAT